AATAGCTGCAGCAGCTTCCTCTTCCAGCTTCTTCTTGGCCTGAATTTTTGCGTCTTTCATCTGCTGCTTCTCTGCCTTCGCGTCCTTTTTTCTTTTCAGTATTCTTGGATCTTTTTTGTACGCATTGTCAACAAGAGTCCTAATCCGAACATATTCCTCTTTTCTAGCCTTCTGAGTTTTTCTTGCATTCTCTCTCTCCATCCACCTCTTTTCCTCGCGGGTTTCTGCTTCCTCAAGATCATGCTCCTCTTCTTCGGGAAACTCTCTCCAGCTTTTGAAATTGTACCAAAAATTGTAGTAGTTATCAACATCTCTAATTGGTGTATTTTCATCTCCCAAATCTGGTACACGCGGGTTAACTGACCACCTTGCGTTTCTCTTAAATGCTGGACCAAAAACCTTGAAGAAGTCTTGCGGTGCACAATCAGTTGGGACTTCGTCATCAAACTCATCTGTAGAGTCAAATATTCTTCTTTTTGTTGGATCCATCAAAACTTCATATGATTCTTGAATCAACTTGAAGTGAGATTCTATCGCCTCCTTCTTGGCTTGTTTTGCTTCTTCCGTCTCCACAGCAAGAAGGAGAGTAGCAAGTTTATCAGGGTGATGCTTCAAAGCAGCTTCGCGGTAGCTTTTTCTAATCTGATCCTCTGTTGCAAGATATCTCAAGTTGCCCAAACCCAACAAGGCATAGTGATCATGTTGTTCCTTTCCTGACTTTTTCTTTGCTTTGTTGTTATACGAGTCATAGGAAGGAATATATTCCTTATCCTTCTCGTTTGCAACTTTCTTCTCAGAGGTTTCTTTTTTCTTGTCTGTGGCTTCCTTTCCACAACCACGCAGTTTGAGAGCAGCAGAATGGAAGGCATGACCAGCAGGTTCACGATTTAAAGCCTTCACAGGAACACAATTGGAAGAAACATAAAGCAATTTTCCATCCGAAAGCTCATCAGAATATGTAAGTAGCTTAATAGCAGAGTTAACTCCCCAACTCTGCATGATGAAAATTTTGTCGAAGCTTCAAATCCACCTTAACACCAAGGTTTATTCCTGTCACAACAATTAAACGCAATGTCGCAAACTTCTTAGCCAGCAATATACACAGGTAAAATATACCCAGAAGCAAACATAGACAAAGCTAAAATTTCCATATCAGCAAAAGCTTTCATTACTAAATAGATACACATCAGGTTATACATCGATGAAGATATACAACATTATACTTTTAAGTTCCACTTGGAAGGAGATCTAAGGTTCTAATGAACTCTCTTGTAAGAGCAAACAACTTCGGTCCATGAAGGACCTCTTGATTTAGCTCACAAAGGCTAAATGTAAGATAGAACCAAGCACACTAAACACAAAGAAGAGCGTCAAAAATCCAGAAAATCAAATGTATATTCACAAAAAATCGTATTTTCAAAGCAGCTAAATAAACATCTAAAAGCTTCATGAACAAAGAAATCTTCGCCTGAAGAAACACGTATCACTCTCAAACTCATAAACCAAGGTCCACAAAACAATGAATAACTTCAACAAATAGTTCCCAAAACCCTAGTTTATACTTGAAAACCCATCTACATAAAACAACAAACACAGAAAGATAACCCTAGATTTCTTCTTTCCGTTTACATAATCAAGTACCAACCCAGTGTAAGATACTCTTTCCAGCGATCTCAAAAAAAACCCCAATCGACCCATCTGGTTTTTTTTTACATAACCTCAAAAAAAGAAATAAAAACAACAAGCACCTTTATTACCAAAAATTGAGCTCTCCGTCGCCTAGATTAACCTGCCGGAAGTTTCTCCTCCGAAGTTATCGCAGACGACGAAGAAGAGAACTTCAATTGGTTCAGGAGGAAACGGCGGCGGAAGCTTAACGAAAGAGGGAAGCGAAGCAAATAGGGAGAGAGAGTCTGCTTAAAAGTGGGAAGTCGACTAAACCTGTTGGGTTACGTTTTTTCCTTTTATACCCTAACAGTTTTTGGGCCCAACCCTACTAAAGGCCCACTAAAGGCCCACTAAAGGCCCATTGAGAAGCACCCGAGACGAGAGAGAGGTGAGAGAGCATCTATAACAATCGGGAAATGCTTCTTCGGCATAAAAGCTGTCATCGCCTGATCAGACTGCACGTCTCTTCTTTTTCTTCGTCGTTGTAACCATCGAAGCTTTTGGCTCATCGAGATTTCAGTTCGCCGGAAAAAAACTTACCGAAACAACAAATCTGAGTAGCTACCAGCTCAATCTCTGGTGAGGCGAAGTTTGTTTTTCTCACACATCGTTTCGTTTTTCCGAGTTTCTTTTTCACTTGCTCGATGGTTATATTGTTCTTAATCGATTGATTTTTGAAGTTGTGATGATTCGATGATGAATCTTCTTCTTGTTTGTTTCGCGAAATGATTAGGATATGTTGGAAATACGAAATCTAGGTTTTCTCTTATGTGCTCATTTCCTTTACTGTTGCCGTTTTCTGTGTTCGAGTGGATATTGCTTGTTCTACTTGAGTATCGAATGTTTCTGATGATTTAAAGTACCATTGATATGTTCAATACAAACCGCTTATTGTTTTCATTGACATACTTACCTTGCGCTTACATGAAATCAGAGCGGATGTAGCTGTGGTGGAATGGTAGTGTAGAGTCTGCGCTTAAGATGTTCCATGTATTTAGTTTCTTGTCCATTTATACTGGTATTAGCTTATATTGTCTGGCGATTCTAAGGTTATAGCGGCATTTGATATTTTGTGGCTTGTGTCTCATATAGAGTTGTAGCTTTCACCCTTATGTAAGTAAGTCTAGGCGTTTTGTATGCCATAGTGTGAGTATTAACATGGGTGGTGTGGCTACTGAAGTTTCATTTTTGACCTTCTAAACAGAATTCAACCCGGGTAGTGAGCTGGAGTAAGGTGATACACACAGCTTCGATACATTTTTCATCATGCAGAGTTAGAAACTTAACTCTGCCATTAGGCTTTCACTTATTTTTTTCTTTTTCTTTCGACTACTATTTGTGTATTTTCTCTCTTGGCCTCTCTGTTGTATGAGATATTAATGGTATTTTACCGGTAGTTAACGTATGTTGTCTGTCGTCAACTGATACTGCACTCTTGTGATTGTTAATGTTGTTACATCTCGGTGTTACAATTTTCTGAAGCAATGTTGGTTGGATTTATTGTGGATATGTGTAACTTGATTATTTTCTTGCAACTTGTTTGATTTTTGTGATGTTTAATTTCCAGTCCAGTTCTAGAAAATTTGATTGTAAAACAGTGATGGCTCTTTGGGAAAATGTTATTGTAATGATTCATTCCCTTCTTTTGTTGCCACCTAACAGTTCATAAATCAGGATACATTGTAATAAAACCGAAATCTTGTCG